CAAGTGTCCCCGTTTTTTTGTAACCCTACCCCCTTGCCGTCCCCTCGCAGACTAAAGCAGCCTACGTGCTGTTCTATCAGCGCCGGGAAGAAGAAGGTCAGCCCTGCGCCTCGCTGGGAGGAGCCGCTGCTGACGACCACATGGACTTGAATTGAAAACATCACGGCAAACTGACACACAGAAGCTGCTTTAGTGACAAGACTATCAATGTTGTCCCCACCATAACAATATCCTCTTTGATTCAAATCTACAATGTTGTCAGCTGACCCTTGTGAGGATAAGCTGATTAGAAAATGGATGGATGTTGTCAGCTGACCTGAGAGAGTAATAAGTAAAGCTAGTTAGTTAAGAGGAGAAACATGGTCACTCTGGATGACCAAAAGCTTGATGCCCTCTACGAAGCAGTACGAATATTTTCTAAAAGCCAAATACAAAGCTCATCTCAACCAAAGTGTTCTGAGGTGCGAATGAAAGTCCATTTCAATGAGCCTGCTGTCAGATACCAACTCCACTTTTTCTGGACATGACTTTGGCTCTGCTGTCTCCGAAACCAAACCGAGCAGCTCCCCCCACACGCACACAACCTAAGTTGTGTGCAAAAAGCGGCCTTTAGTTTGCTGCTACCTGAGAAGGCACTTTGATTTGTGAATACAACATCTACCTGCTTCTGGTATCCAGCCTGGGCATTCAGGGTTGTTATCTGTCATAGAATTTCGAGGCACTAACAGCTTGTGATAAATCATGTACATGAATGCACCGCTGTCTTCAAATGGCTACATTGTTTGATATCTGACAAGCACATCGAATTAGGAGACATAAAGTAGAGCTTTATTCAAAAAAATTTCTCGTCCTGGTCAGCCTGCATATTATTCGAAGGAGGCAGGGCCAGCAGCATCCATTCATTGATCTTACTCCACTGTCGGGATAGATTCTCTTTATATCCTACTAGCTAGCCTATAATTAAAAAAAATCCCATTCAGCACAGTTTGTGGATGTTGGAATGTGCTGTTGATTCTAAGGCACTTAAAGTTTTAGTAGTGGCAATTAAATGACTGGTCGTCATCACAGGTGCTTCTACTGGGCAAACACCACTGCTTTCCAGATGCCACTGACATGTTTGACCTTTGGGTCACTAAATCCAAAAGAATCCAACCTAACCGAAGAGATGTAAATAATCACACTATTTTAAATAGGTGTAAACATTCTTGTCCTCATATTTATCATGCTGATATCTACAGGATTTGTTTTTAAATGGAAAATATTTGAAGTCAAACCACAATAAAGACTGGATGCCTCAATGATTATGTGTTTTGTTTGGAATGTGTTTTGTTTGCGTGTTAATAGAACCGCGAACATTAAGTTTACCAGGCAGATGCTAACTCAAATAGCATTGCTCTGAAAGCAATATCCTTTTCTTGCTTAATGTGTGAAAGGCTGAGTTGTTTCACCTTATTTTGGTGATCATACAAATGATTATGTCGGGTGGGCTAACTTTCATGCTGATGCGCCACGTTTGATTTTTTAAATTGAAAGCAGTACTGGTCTTTTGTTGCGTAATTATTTGGTGGGGTGACAGCACTCAAGAATTTTCAAATGTTTCAAGCTGCCTCCTCAGTTCGCCAAGGTTTTGGGGATGGAAGCTGTTGACATTTCGTAAAGAAAAAAAGACTTTGAAATTGGACCTCTGAAGTCCGCTTGTGTCGCAGAACAGATTTTGTTCGATGTGAGTGGTGTGCTGTGTGGTTTTTGTTCCAGTGGTAGTGGTGAAATAATGTCACAAAAGGAAGTTCCATTTAAAGGGGAAGTTAACTCAAAATTTTTCTTTACAATATATTGAATGCGGCACCACTAGTCTATACGCGGTATTGTCATTCATATTAAGTTTGTGGAATATGTTTTAAACATTAAAATCCACCCATTTTTATCCAGTTTTCCAATTTGTTGAGCGAACATGACACGGCAGTTGCTCAGGTAACGACCAATCACGGCTCAACTTGCAAACACCACATGACCAACCTCAAAACAGGTGAGCTGTGATTAGTTGTTACCTGAGCAACTGTGGTGTCATTTTCGGTCAACAGCAAGTGCCAAAATCCCCCCTCCTCCCACATAGATGGGTGGATTTTTCAGTTTAACTCACATTCCCCAAAAACAATATGAATCAGAATACTGTGTTTTGACTTGTGGTGCCGCATATGACATAAAAAAAATGTTGGACTTGACTTCCCCTTCAGGGAAGTGTGATGTACAATTGTAGGTGTTTCGAAATGGACTATAAAGGAACTGTAAATGATTGCACGGGCTGATCTCAATTTTACAAGGAGCCAGACATGGGATGTGTTGGAAGAAAGACATTTATTTGTTCTTTTGAACCACAGCTGTGCTTTACATGTATTAATGTAGCTGAAGTGTTCCGTTTCTTTACAGTGCATCAGGAAACCTCCTCACAAATGGCGTGGTTTCAGAGGTGACCTTCATTGAGTAAAAGAGCAGAAAACAGCATACAGGTCAACAAGAGAGCACAGGTGGTCCTGGCCAGGCTGAGGAGCTTGACTTTTGTTAGTTTGCTTGACTCAAGAGCTTCTTGATGTCTCCCTCGATGTCAATCGTAAGGAACTTGCGGCTGTAACGCTTGAAGGGCACACCATCTGACCCGATGAGGAACTTCTCAAAGTTCCAGGACACATCATTCCTGCAGACGGGACTCCAGATGATATACTTGGGGTCAGTCATCAGGGAGGTGGGGTCGTCGATGGGAAACGGGAGGCTCTCTCGCAGGAATGTGAACAGTGGGTGGGCATCCTTGCCATTCACATCTACCTTTTCCAAGAGCTGGAACTTGGGCTCGTAGCCATTCCCGGGTCGGACGTGCTTCAATGACGGGAGGATTTCATTATTCCTGTTGTTCTCCTGCACAAAAACATCACACTGGTATGTTAAGACAGCAATAATGGCATCAATAGCAGGGATGTTTGAGACCACTTTTTACACACCAATACAGCAACAGATTAATTGTGAAAAATAGCGACGGCCTTCTCAATACCGATATAAGACAGAAACTACATCCATCCATTCTTCCATTTTCTACACCACTTACTCTTATTAGGGATTATGACATGATTAATAAACCACAAATCCAAATGTGTAAAATTATTATATTTCTGGAAAGAGTGTATGAAGCTTCCTCGTGATTGACTAGCAGCGAGTTACCAAACAATGGTAATCGCAGTGGCGATTACCGTAATCGATTAATGACTGACCAACAGTGTCAGTGCTCGTGGCAGTTTAAGCATTAACTACATTGCAATGGCTCGTTTGTATTCAAGAGTAGAAAGTATTGCAAACTGTTAGGTAATTTCCTCATTCCAACTTGTTAGGCTGAAGCCCGGAGTCAATTATGAATACGAATATTTGTTTTCTCTTAACCTATATTTCTACAAATTATTTTTTGAGTCCCTGAAGGGAGTTAAATAACATACATTAACAACAATTAACATTTTCTGCACTCATCAGCACACATGTATACAAATGAATATTAGTTAAGACCAATATTTCTGGTTTGAAATCTCATCCTGCATAATGGGTTTCATTGTCTGTGTTGACTCTTTTTTTCAAATGTAATTTGTTGTTCACCACAGGAGGCAAACTTACAACCAGACAAACCTGAAATTCTGCACATTCCCAGTTAAGGAAACAACAACATTAACCAGAGTACTGTATTCCTATGTAAAGTTGCGAATTACCTCTAAATATAACATAATCGTCTCGGAAATTGTACACTGAAAAGGATAGAAAATAGTGATTCGTCGTTTGTTTCGCTTACCTGGTGGCCAAACTGGTTGCAGGGTACACCCAGGATAACGAGCCCCTTGCTGGCGTATCGCTCGTGGAGCTCGTTCATCTGGGTGTAATCCCTGGTGGTTGTCCCTCAGAGAGACGCGACGTTCTCAATGAGGACCACTTTGCCCCGAAGCGAGGAGAAATTAAAGGTTTCGCCCGTGAGCAGCTTGGCCGTCAGGTTGTGGAATCCGGTTGCCATTGCGGAGCTCGAGTGTATAACTTCCAACTAAAAGTTTCTGCGTAAACTGACTGACTCACTTCCCGAAAGTCTGGATGGAACCTTAAGGGGTGCCAAAGAGCTTCCATCATCCGTCAAGATAGTTCACCCTCTACCCAGGACGAGAAGCCATCAAATGAGTCCCGAATGTCTGGGCGGAACCTTGAGGTGTGCCAAAGAGCTTCCATCATCTATCAAGATAGTTACCCGTCTACCCAGAACGACAAGCCGTCAAACGAGTATCGAAGTCAATTTGTCGTCTCAAGCACAGGTGTCGAACTCCGGTCCTAGAGGGCTGCTGTCCTGCATGTTTTCAAAGTCTCCCTGTTGCAATACACCTGATTCAAATGATCAGATCATCAGCAAGGTCTGCGGGAAGCCTGATATTGAACCTGTTCATTTGAATCAGGTGTGTTCCAACAGGGAGACTTTGAAAACATGCAGGACAACTGCCCCCCTGTTCGACACCTGTGGTCTCAAGGCTGAATTAGAATTTAATATTTCCGTCTCGTCGAAAGGTTGAAGCTCTCACAATACTTTTGTTATATGTAATACTGGAATACAATCATTTTGATCCTCTAGGACGTGCTTGTGGAGGCACACAATTTTGTGTGGTGTGTGTGTGTGTGTGTGTGTGTTTATGTTCAAAGTCTGTGCCAATTTGCCTAAATGTCAGTTACAATTTGAAGTTATCTCCCATCCAAGAGCACACTACAGTATGAAAAATCAACAAACACTTGAACCAGAAACAGTGGGTAAATATATGATTTCATGAAACCTGCTTTGCCAGAGGAAACACAATTTTGCCATTGCATAACAAAGAGATACAAAAATATAACAACTTTAAATATGCAATACTGTATTTAGTTTCGTTTTGGAAAATTATACGTTGCTTTTATAGTCACCCAACGAACGTATAATTGTAGACAGTTCCCTAGCCCGACCGATGACGTATGGATCATTGGCGCGAATTATGTGCTGGGAGAAGAGTCTGTGGCGCTAAGAAGTGGCCAGTGGGGGGCTTAGCTTTGTGGCAAGCAGAGCTTATCGAGGTTATATTCTTCCATAATTTGCAAAATTGAAAGCGGAACGTTATTATAACCATGACACTCTCAAACGATCCTATGTTACTGGTTGCTTCCGTTGACATGACAAGCTAACGTTAGCTCTATAGCGCTAGTTGCCGTGAAGAGTTGTTTTTGGAATAACGTTGTTAGCCTGGTCTTGTATATAGCAAACGTTGTCTATCTTGTCTACCAGATGATGCGGAAAAGACGGAACTCGTCTGTGAATAATGGAGAGAAACACCCCGCATCCTCTACTAGTAAGTAAGACACTATCCTAGGTCCGTATTTTATAAAATCTTACGACGACACACCTCACAAATCGGTCACCAAAAGTGTCCATTGATGATCGCTCCGTTCAATATGTTGGTCAGGAGGCTGACAATTGCAGGCACTGTGCTTTATGTTAACTTAGATTACAATTTAACATGTATCAATGGTACAGGTAGTTTACCATCAGCAGTTAATGGCAAAATAAGGTCCTGTGTTGAAATCAGCAATACAAGCAATTGTATTACCCATATCCCTCTGTCATTAACTTTTACTGAACATGTAATGCTTATTTTATTTTGTTTGCACACAGAGGCAAAGAAGAGTCGCATCACTGGTCGCCAGTCTGCAGTGTCTGCTCCAGAAGAGACAACAGAAAGTGTCTTTAGTTTGTTTGTACGAGAGGCGGGTGTCACATTGACTCAGGGCAACGCCTCCAACGAGATTGGTAAATTTCAAAGGACACCCGGTTGTTTAATTGTAATCCACCATTCATTTGTATGTTCGACTTCTCTCCCCAGCTGTTGACCAGGTGGTGTTTCAAAAAAGGATAAAGCAAAAGCTACAGAAGAGCCCCAGGTACCCTGGAGTGAGTATGCAAGACACATCTTTGAAATCAATGAATAAAATAAACAAACAATTAAACAACTGTCACTTGTAAAATACTGTATTGTATGGTTGGTCACCCAAATTTTGTGGGAAGAGCATTTACTCATCATTTTACAAAATGTGTCCTATTATATCAAACAAAATGCACACAAGCAATGAAGTATTGATCACATCATGAAAGAGTACTTGCCATGTCATTGTGCAGATTTTGCAGGAATTCATCAGTGGACTGGAGTCTCATATTGAGGACACAGACCGGTTCAGGAATTGCCTTCTCCCTTGTCTCCCAAGAATGCCCGATGGCGACTCGAGGTGACTTTCAATCCAATTGAACACAAAAGCCGATATGGTATTTGCAATAATATGCCCCTCTGGAGATGTAAGTAACACACTCATGTTTTTGTGCTGCAGGCATGTCAGCTCCTTCCAGGAAAGCCTGCTACGCATGCTGCTTGGCATTGAGATGCTTCAGGTACGACTGGCCCCAAAAGAACAACTGAAAAAGTGCTTCGTACATGCACCACTGATGTCTGCTCCCTTTCTTCACATAGACTCTTATTGTAAACACGTTGCTTGAGAAACTACCTGAATATATGCTCAACAGGTCAGACAGCATGTTATGTTATTGTTTACCATGTTACTAATTTCTTCTGCTTTAAGTACAGAAATAGTGATTGTGATGGCCGTTTGTTCTGTCTCGTAGTGCTGATGATGCCGGGCTCAGCATTCCACGCATTATCATCAACCAGCTCAAGTGGCTTGACAGAGTGGTGGAAAGCAAGGTACCGGTGTAATTTCTTTAATGACAGATTCAATTGATTCCTCTGTGGACGTTTTAATTCGGCACATCAAAACGCTGAATGCTGTTTGTGTACTCCAGTCTTTTTCAAGTGGCTTTTTAATGTAGGAGCTGGCGACCAAGCTCATGGAGCTGCTGGCAGTAGCACCGGTGGATGTTCAGCGTGACATCATCACCAGCCTACCAGAGATACTGGAGGATTCACAACACAATGATATAGCCAGAGAGCTGAAGTAAGTGCCGTAGACTACCAGCTCGAATCATTATGAGCGACGTGTTGCTGAAAATCTTCAACATTCTGTGCAGTTCTGTACTAAAGGAGAACACTCAGTTGACTGTGGCTATCTTGGATGCTCTCTCAAGCCTGAACCTCACCTCCTCATTACTGACTGAGGTACTTAGAGTCAATCTTTTGTGTTGTGGATATTGTTTATAATATCTTGCAAATGTTTTGGCCATTTTGTGTAACAGAACAGTAAATACTCATACTACAGATACAAGTGTTTGCTGTGACATCAGTTTCATTCCGTTTTACATTAAATGTTGATTGTTTGTTATAAACTAGTAATTTGCCTTCCGAAGGCACTACATATATTAAAAAATGTGGAATCATAGCCTTTTTATATCAGCAGCCGCATTTTTTTCAGGGGCTTGGAAGTATGGCATTTGACATTACTGCAAATATTTTCATAATTTAAATTACATTTTTCCTTTACAACATTTTCTAATCGAAAATTACATTGTTACTGTCCAAATTTTTCGAGACCGAACTGTGGCTTTCACATGCTCCTTGTAATTGCACAAATAACAAGATATCCATGTTAATTTTGTCTAAGGTTCGCGGAGCTGTCATGACCACCTTAGCTGCTGTGCAACTGGAAGACCTGCCTGTGGTGGTCAAATTTATTCTGCATTCTATCTCGGCATCTGATGCATATGAGGTTAGAGCGCTGGAATCAACAACCTTTTTTTTTTCCTATGGGGTGGGGGTGAAACATAAACATAACTTTTTCGAAATGCACTCCATGGTCGGTAAAGCATAATGTAATGACAACATGATAACAAAACCTCAATTTCTATTTGAGACTAATCCTTGGTTTTGTACACCACTTCAAACTGTAACCATGATAAAAAGATCGTACTATTAAAGTAATACCTTTCTGACCATGTCGATTAAAAACTGAGCATTAAAGGCATTTACAGCTTGTTGCATTAGATCTCAATAGAATGTGTGAGACATAGCAAAGCGTGAAAGTGGCCTATGAGTGTGTCCTGATGTGACATTTATATAATGATGACATATTTGTTTGTTGGCAGGTGGTGTGTGGGCTCCGTAAGAAACTAGAACTGGAACAGTGTGTTCTCCCTCCTGTGCTGCAAGCATCCCAGAGCCGCCTTAAGAGCAAAGGAGCAGCAGTGTATGACTCACCACACAATACATACAACACATGATGCTGCTCAACCCTAATTCTAAGAAGTCTTTTGTGTGGATCAGGTCCAACTCAGCTACAGTAACCACTGGCAGCCAGGATGTCATTACCTTGATCGTGGATGCCATTAAGTCAGCAGTGCGCTTTCAGAAGACCATATCTGAGGCCTGGCTAAATGTGCACAACTGTTTTGTTCCTTCTCTTGGGTTGATTTCTGTTCTGAGCCAAAACAACTCTTTCAATGTCATTGCTTTGTGTTCTGTTTTCCCACAGGCAATCGAGTCTGTGGAAGAAGTGGAGAACCACAAGGTGAATGTCATATTTTAAGTCCACTTCATACTTTATTTCCCTCCCCACTCTTTTACAGTAAGAACAATGAAATGGGATATGTTCAGCGCAGTTGTTGTTTACTGGCTATAGTTAGGAGGCACACACACATATGGACATCAAGAAATACAGTACACTCGCACACCCTTTTTGCAAAATTTTGATTGATTCTGTTGGAGAGGAATTTTTTTCAATCGAATGTTTAGTGCTATATTTAGTATTGTGGTTGTAGTTTCCTATGCAGCGCTACATCACAGAAAAACTGTGCCAAAATAAACATGTTGATTTCCTACTTCTCCGGCAGTGTTAAACAAAGCTGATTTATTATTTTTCTATTAGCAGAATTTTTAATGCAGTTCTTGTATGGCCAAAAGTGACTCAAATGTTACCACTTCAACATGCATTTACTACATCCCGAAAACAACAATTGTGGAAAAAAATTCAATCATGCAAAAGTTTATTTTGATCATCGCCTTTTCAGGCGTACCTGTACCTTTGTAATTTAGAAAAATAATACTTCTTATTTGGGTCTCAACGTCAACTACCCGGTTTTCCTTTTTTTTTTTTTTTTTTTTTTTAAATACAAAGATCTGGAAAATAAGTATTTTGGAAATATCTATCCACCTATCCATTTGCTCCCCTTTTCCTGTTCAGCGGGAGTCTTTCCCCATTGACTTTGTATGAGACAACCCTGAACAATACTAAATATCTAAACTGTAAAAAAAGGAAAACGCCTTGAACATTTATCAAAGCCGATCAATATTTGAACATCTATGAGAAATGTGTTCTGGATTTTTGTGCAATCTGCTGTGCCTCACTATATTATAAAATCCTTCTGCTGTTTCTTCAGGTGATAGATCTGCTGGTGCTGTTCATCCTGCACTCCACTAACGCCAACCAGAGTCGTCGAGGCGCCGAGAAGGTGCTGAAGATGAAAGTGCGGACTGGCTTGATCCCCGAGGCCCTGCTCCAGAAGACCTTTAAGGATAATAAGCAGGCAAGTGCATTCACCGACACATGGCTGTTATGATTTGTCATTATTTGACATGTGTGTTTCATCCTGGGCTTAGGTCCTACGGGGATATTTTGCCTCCATCCTAGCCCTGGCGCAGAGTTTGCTGCGCTCGCCAGACCCCTGCGTGGTCCTGTTTGCTGGGCATATGTATCGGCATTCCTTCATTGCCTTTGATACTTACTGCCAGCAGGTTAGCACACCATTCTTGTTTAAGTGCACAATTGTGTCATCTGTTTAAAAATATAAAATATGTTTCGTGTCGTATTTGAAGGAGGTTGTGGGCTCACTGGTGACCCACGTATGCAGTGGTGTCGGCGTTGAGGTGGACATGGCCCTGGAGCTCCTCTGTGGTCTGGTTACTGAAAAACCTAAAGAAATGGGGCCGTATGCTGTTTTTGTCAAGGTGAGGCAAAGGTCGTTTTATCTGTCGTTGGCAAAACAGAAAAAACATTGATCTAGATAGGAGACGCCTTTCTTAAACCAACACAGACACTCACTCGACAATTTATTAGGTACACTGCAAAATTACATCCAAATATAAGTAAATTTTATTTTTTCGTAGTTATACGTGTGTGTGTGTGTGTGTGTGTGTTTGTAATATTTTGGTTACTGTTTTGCTCATAAACAATTATGTCAAACAACCACAATATCAAAACCAGATCTCATTATGATGCACTTTAGTTTTACACAACTGCAAACGACAACCATAATAATAAAGATTAAACACAAATTACCAACTAGACAATGATAATCAAACCTGAGATTACCAACAGTATTTTATTCGCTTTGAGTCTCATTGAATTGTTCGCTAATGCTATCGCAGTTGATTTTTATGTCTAATTTTACATTGACTGAATTTCTTGTATTCCCAAACATTTCTATGGCTCTGTTTTTGCTTATAATATGTATTCAAATTGTCAGAAAATGCCCTTCTGGTAAATAAGAGTGGGCTTGTCTTCATCTTTTCCCCCAGTATAATGATATTTGTCCCTGTCATCCTGCTGATGTGAATACAGGTTTGTCAGTCTACTCCTAACTACCGGAACCACAATATTTTTGGCAGGGAATTCTGGATTACCTGGACAATCTCTCACCTCAGCAAATTCGCAGACTTTTCCAGTTGCTGAGCAGGCTGGCATTTGGACCACAACAAGGCTCACACATTCAGGTGTGTTCCTTCATTTAATCATCTACTATATTTGGCACTTTTGTCATGAAGGCTGAACGATGAATTGAAATAGATCTGACATTGCAATATAGTACAGTCATACCTCGGTTTTTGACCATAATCCGTTCCAGAAGGCTGTTCGAAAACCAATTTATTCGAAAACCGAAACCACGCTCTTTTTAAAAGAAAAATCTTTATTGAACACGTCTGTTCACAATGGAACGCTACACGAAGAAGCGTCACTTCCTCGTCTACCCAAGGAAGCGTCACTTCCTCGTGTAAGGAAGGCGAGAGGAGTCAAGTGACGCATTCAAGTGCACTCAGTTTGTTCGAGAACCGAAATTCGGTCATCATCCGAGGCATAAAAAACTCGAAATTTTTGGTCGAAAACCGATTTGGTCGAGAACAGAGACGTTCAAAAACCGAGGTTTGACTGTACTATGGAACGCAATTTTTAAATCCCCAGAGGATCTTGAAAAAATAATTGCCACGCAGGCAGTTTATTAAACTCTGTTGTATAAGTCAAAAAGGTTCTCCATTCTATACCTTAACTAGTTAAAATCCAAGATAGACAGAAAAAATAATCACAATATTGAGGGTGGAAAAAATGCAATGATTAATTTCTCATATCATTTAGCCTTATTTGTAATGACTGTTGTCTTGACCTACGTCTGACATTTATTGAGTGCCTCTCTTCAGGACGACATGCACATTGTGATTCGGAAACAACTCTCCAGCACTGCACCCAAGTATAAGCGCATCGGGATCATTGGTGGCGTTATGATCATCGGCAGCATGGGGGCGCCCGCGTAAGACCTTTTCCTCACAGATTGTGTTGTGTTTTCATTCCGTCTGTCCATGTTATTTCCTCACTTTACTCTTTGCACAACCAGACCTCAAGCCAAAGATACTCAGGACAACCCGTTACCACCAGAGACATTCAGACAGGTGCACGTAAAGACAATTTCTCCTATATTTCATTCAGATTTGTTTCAACAGTGGTTCATTTCAGTTCAGGTTTGTTCGACAAACTCGATGGCATTCTTATCTTGTTACAGTTATCAGCCCTGTTAGAGTTGGTGCAGTCCAGTAGTGAGACTTCACCTGAGGCTGCAGCTTTGTACTGTGACGAGCTAGCCAATCTGATTCAATCTTCCACTCTGGACCCACAAGTACAGGTAACTAGAACTGCTAATTCTTACAAACTTTTGTGTTTTGTGCTGCAGATGTAGCAGCGCACGGCATATCATAGTAATCACAATATACCATGCAAATGGAGTTCTGAGCAGTACTGTGTAAGGATGACAGACCAAACTCATTGATGCTTTGTCAGTGCTGTGGCATGACATCTTTAATTATTCACTTATTATCTCATCTGTTATCTGGAATTTATTTCTTTTTTTAGAAAAAAAAAATCTCTTTGTTCAATATGCTCTCTTGTGTGCTATTGTTTTTCTTCATGCACAGGAAAAGATTAGCAGCAGAGTCTTAGATGTCTTCCAGGGTGACTTTGTGGTGGATCTGGGTCCAGAAATATCAGGGTCAGTGATCGGCAGCTGGAACTCATCTTCCTATGCACCTTTGATAACTAAGCCTTCCTTATTAATGCTATCCGGTTGTGGCCGCAGGTCGTTCCCCTTCCCAGCGCGCGTCATGTACAACCTAGACGAGGACGAGAGTCAGGGAGGCATTGCCATCAACTTGATGCCTCTGCTGGCCAAAGACATGCAGAGCAGGGGGGAGCAACATTGTCGAGACAAGAAGGATAACAAGTCAGTTAATTGAATGAACGTCATCTATCTGGATTCCGGATTTAACTGACCACATGTGTATTGAACTGTTCTTTTGTCAGCAGGAGTTCTCTCTGTTTGTCCCCATTTTTCCGGCTGCTGCGGGTTTGTGAGGAGAAACAGAACCAAGAGGACTTAGAGGAGATTGATGCATTACTGGGTGAGAAAATGATTGAAATTCATTTTGAAGCCCTCTTATTCTTTGTGGCATTCCTGTTAAAAACAAAAACTTGTGTGTGCATTTGGGATTCCAGGCTGCCCTCTCATCTTAACAGACATGGATGTTGTAGAAAAAATAGACACCATGTCCAAAGTGGAGAAGGAGTTCATCTGCACTCTGCTATTTCATACCATCAACTGGTTCAGAGAGGTAACTGCACATGGCAAGGTGATCCAGGCATCACCAGGTGATCCTTTTTGTAGCTTAAACAAGTGCTTATATGGAGGCATAAGCAAGATGCCTTACAAAGTGGTGTTCATTTTTTTCTCGGCGCAGAAGTGGTATTAAATTGACAGTTGAGCAGGGCGTGGTTTCACGACATTCAGCGACACACTCACGATGTTTGGGAGGGAGGAAATGGCTTGATTTGTCACCATGTTGAAGCCTCATATATATTTTAAATATTTTTTTAACACTCTTTGGTATGTCAAATTTACAAGAGTAGACTTTTATATGAGCTTCCTTAATTTTTAAGCCACCTGTCACCATAATGGCTGGTGTGTGTTGGCAGGTGATAAATGCCTTCTATAAGATCAAGGACAAAGAGATGAAGATGAAAGTGATGACCCGTCTACAGAACATCACTTACCTTCACACCCTTTTGGAGAGGGCTTTAGCCAGTGGGTACTGCGTGCACTGTATTGGCTCTCATTCCAGGCCTGGGTGAGTTTTAAAAAAACACTTTGTTTTAGGTACTCCTGGCTATGTTCCACCTGTTGCTAACTTTGATGGAGAGAGCACGGACATGATTGTATCCAGCACCACTCCTCCTTCAAGTAAGACGAAGAAAGGTAAGCGCACAATAGTGAATATATTTTATACTATAGCTTAAATGGAAGGAAAAAACTAGAAGAAGTGAATAGGCACTGAGAGGGTGTCTTTTTTTTTAACATACTTTCAAGATGCCTCTGGAAAGAAAAGGAAGGCGCCTGGAAATAATTCCTCTGAAGGCAGCTCTCAGCTGGAGGACAAGACAGAAGAAGATGAAACGCAGCAGGTGAACTATGAATTCAAATTGTACTCCGGTGCTGACTTAGGGTGTGGTTGTTTTGAAGTCCTGCTCCAGTTTTTATACTACCGACTGGGGTGCAAGCGATGTTCTGAAGCACTAACATCACAAAAATCTGTCAAATGTGACTACTGTACTTGTGCTTGTAAAAGGACCCAGAGAAGGAGAGGGAAAAAGAGAAGGAGGCCGGACAAGGAGTCAACCTGGCATCCTACAGGCCGTTTTTCAGGGAGCTCGACATGGAGAGTCTCAGTGTGCTGGAGTGTGGCTTGCGAGCCAGCTCCACGCTGGACTCTGAGCTCGGCACCAAAGTGAGACAAAGAGTCCTTTCCAGTGGGACCCACTTATCAAAATTTCAAACCAAAATGCGCGTAAACAGCATACACTGTGTGTTGTGAATCTCTTTCAGGCTCTGTTAGGTCCGGCAGAGCTGGTTTTCCTGCTGGAAGATATGCTCCGCAAAATGGAATTTCGTCTGACGGCCTCCCCTGCCAAGAGAGTACCTTTCCTCAAGGTGCACAACTGTCAAAACAACAGCACAGAAATAGACTCAACAGGCTACAACATTATAGCACTGGATTTACTGTAAATACTTTTATTTGTTTGACTCACACTGGTCACGAGAGGAATTAAGAGGAATTTGTTTATTAATGTGGGTGTCGTCTGTTGTGAGAATCCCTCTCTATTCTCAACTCATGCATGCACGGCGGTGCTGCATAAATTCCAGGACGATAATATTAATCACAGTGCTGTGTTCGGACTCGTGGGGCATATAGATCATATAATGAAGACGTTTTTTGACTTGAGTTTGTTCCCATTTGATTTTGAAAGTCAAATTCAGAAGTGGTCAACGTTAAAATAAAGCTTTCCCTAATGATGTGTGGTTATTAAAGTGATGTAAATGGCAGTTATATGGCCAAACATGTAGTGATACTTTATTTTACAATGATCTATAGCTTTGATAGCGATGTAGACTGACGGATAAGATTTAAATACTAAACTATTCTTTATTGATTGTCATATATATGGTGACAGGCACGGGCCGACAAGAGTATTGGCTTCTCCCACCTCCAACAGAAGAGCCCCAAAGATGTAGCTTCCTTCTGTGTCCAGATGCTGCCTGCCCTCTGCTCTCACTTGGAGAACTGTCACAATCATTTCCAGGTAGAAAAGAAGAAACTGAGATTAAAAACTGGACCATCTTTAGTACAACTCTTAACTGTTCTGTCATGTCTTCAGACATTACTCTCTGACAATGACGGTATTGTGGACGGACCCACCGTAGACGCTCAGGAGCACCAGTTAATATCTTCGTGCTGCCAGCTTCTCCTGCTAGTGTTGAACACCATCTTTAGCTGGTGAGCAGGGAGCACTACTTCACATCAGGCATCAGTCTTTTTTTTTTTGTACCCCGGAGGCATCTTAGATCAGTCAGTCTGTATATGTGTGTTTGGGTGGTCATTGAAATGACAGGTCTGGATTCAGCCTGCCGGGACATCGCAGCTTGCTGAAGAAAGCTTTGGGAGTTTTGGTGGGTCGAGTGAAAGATGGAGGAACTGAGCTGAATCTGGAGCTGCTTGTTAAGTGAGTAAGAAGGCTACAAACATGAATGTTCTTCCTGGTACTACTACACCAAACTTCTAGAAAAATATTTTAATCTTTCCTCTGAGTAAGTGTTGTAAGAGGCACACCCAAGCACACCGGACAAAACGATACAATACAACATAAGTGCTTTTAATAAACCGTCTACCTTTGCTAAGATAATAATGACCATTTTTGCCCGAGACTGTTAACAATATACATCTGTAATTATTGGGGCACCTCATTCAGGAATCATCCTGGAGTACAAATTGGTTCTCAACTCCCATTTACACACAAGAATGTCATTCTTCAAAGTCTTATGAACGTCCCCGTGAATCAGACCCACTGATCTCTTCATTCAAAGATAGTTCTTTGACATTATATACTGTACATATTGAAACGTTAAACTTTTGTCTTTTTGTTCCCAGACACAGCTTTGAATACCTGCTGAACTTCCGCAGCACCATTCCGAATCTCAGTTCGGCTCTGTGCCTCTCTCAGCTCTTGTCCACTATTTCCGAGAAAGGAGGCAACGCTATTGCTTATAGGGAGCAGACTGGTTAGTCTAACATCCGTCTAGCAATTACATCTCCTCCTTTACAATCAAGCGGACTTCCACGATGTATGGTTGGTTTCTGTTTTCTACTTAAGCTTCTCTTGCACGGCGCTTCCTGAGCCAGTCGTGGATAACGGTCAGTGGTGAAAAGCAACGAGGGACCAAATTCAATGAAGCACTTCACACTCTCCTGAGGTATGTCAACTTAACATTATCAGGAGCACCTCACAATAGGATAAACTGCATTAATTCACCGCTACAAATTACAATCACAAATAACCCTTTTTTTAAATTTTTTTTTTTTAATACCTCTCAGAACTCAGCATTGAAGGGGGTGTTTGCCGTTTTAAAACCACTAGCATGATATAAATGTAGCCTCACTTCACTAATGCTCCTCAAATCCAACCGAAAAGGTCAGCGCCCAGCTGTGATATGTGCCCATGAATGATTTGACACATCCTAAATTTATTATTAGCATAATTATTATTATTATTATTATTATTATTTTAAGGACAAGCTCCCCCTTTCATGCAGTTCTTGTACTGGGTCTCATAAGATTGAGCAGCTGTTCCTAATTTTGTGTCTCTAAAAGGTGGCAACTCTAATCAGAAAAGACAGAAAAATGTTTTGGGGCATCAGCTAAGACGCACAGGCTAAAATCTGAGAGTTATCGTCTGAATTTACACTTGAAAAGTAAATATTCGCTGTTGTCCATAGCATCTACATGGAGCATGTGGACGATGTCCTGAAGGCGGTGGAGGAAATAGCGAACGAAGGGTTTCCTCAGATAATCAACGCATCAAAAGACGAGAGTTCCGCTTCCTGGCCGACACTCAGCAAGTAGATAAATCCTCATCGTCATCATACTCAATCCTGTCATATCAATGTGTGGATATGAGGTTGCATTTTGATCTCTATTCCCAAAGGCAGACATTCCTGGTCTTCTATAAAGTTTTGATGGCAGAGCTGGAAAAATCGGTCCGGAAGATTCCATCAGGCAAAATCAATGACAGCAGTGAGGTCTGCCACCAGATGTCACCCTAAACAACATGCCCTGATACATTTACCAGCCACATTAAGTACACTGTATTGAGTTGTAGCTCACATTTCTGCCTTTACAGAAATAGTCACACAATGATAACCTGGATGGTAAATTAATACCTCTCTGACAGTTTCAATCAAAAATTTGTCTTATACAGTATTTGTACAGGCAGAAATGTTGATACAGCTCTTGTATTGAAGCTCATTAAACTACATAGCAGCACATATCCATGTCTTCTTCAGGCCCAGAGTGAGAAGCTGCTGACATGGAACCTGGCAGTGCGGGACTTTCACATCCTGGTCAGCATAGTCAAGGTGTGTCATCTGTTTGTCTTCCGCTGGCTCAATTCCATTTATGACTTTTATTTTACCTTATCCTTTGTCAGTTCGCTCATTCCCCTTTTTTGACCTTCAAACCCTGTCTCGCAGGTGTTTGACTCGAGGCCCGTCCTTAATGTTTGCCTGAAGGTGAATTTGATTGTAATGCTGAGATGTATTTGTATGTTCGAAAGGAGACTTTGGAATGTATAAACCTTTGTTTTCTTCATGGGTAGTATGGACGTCTTTTCTTGGAGTCGTTCTTGAAGTTGGGGATGCCGCTGCTCGACTACAGTTTCAAAAGGCACAAGGTATGTATGAGATGACTCTGTTATAGGCATGGGAGCTCCACAACATGAAGTAGGAAAAGAAAAAAAAAAAAAGTAAGTTGTGAATCAAGTATTGCCAGTGCAATGACTAAGTTTGGTGTTACCTTCTTTCTTAGGAGGACGTGCAGAATATGTTGAAGACCTTCCAACTCAGCACCCGACAGCTCCATCACGTTTGTGGACACTCCAAGGTTGCTGCCTATATGAGTGTATATTGTTACACTGCCTACCCTCATACCGTATATTTCAATATTGTTTTTGAGCCACCTTTAACTTTCCATCCATGTGTCCTGTAGTCCAGGGGTTCACTGTTGTTAGCTTCTCCCACACATCAATAGAATTAACTTGTGGATTCCTGTGGTCAATCCACCACTCACAACCAGTCTTTTGCTGTTTGGGCCCAATGAAACATAACATTGTCCTCTTAGCATTATGACTGTGGCATCAGGGAAGAAAACAACTTAATTGGTGACCACATTGCAATACTGGACTGCTCCCACAGGTTCACTTCACCAACATCTCTTGCTCGGATGTGTCATGACACTCTTACTATTATAACTAAGGTGTCTTAAACTAAATGATAATCATGACACAATTCTTAAATTCACAATCCCCCCCAAACCACATCCTCCCGCTCCCACCCCTACACTCCTTGGGCCTGACAATCTACGGTATATTGAAAAGAAATAATGACCAAAATGTATGTTGGTATTTTCCATGACACTCAGATTCACCAGGACACAAGTTTGACCAACCACGTTCCGGCCTTGAAGAAGAGTCTTGAGCTGTTTGTGTACAGAGTGAAGGCCATGCTCACCCTCAACAACTGTCAGGGGGCCTTTTGGATCGGCAATCTCAAGAATCGCAACCTGAAGGTTTAACATCACATGACTTGTATTGGCTTGGTGGACTGATGTTATAATATCCATCTGATCATGAGACACTGCACCTGTATGCTCCAGGGTGAAGAGATTCTTTCTCAAAGGTCACAAGAAAGTGAGGAGGATGAGGAAGAAGAACTGGCTCCACAGGGCCAATCAGAGGAAGAGGTATTTCCAATTTTCATCTTTGAGAGAAGGCTGGTGGGTGGGTAAGGGTTTTATCCACTCGCATTTTAAAAGGTGAGAAAAATCCCAAAACTGTGGTGGAATACTCTATTATGGAGCCCCGTGGAGTGATGTGGAAGAAATAAAACCTTTGTGAGTTCCCTCGCAATCTTTGGGAGGCTATACAAAGTGGTGGGTTTCTTTTTTTGTATTCCATGTCACCTCAGGGGCTTCTTACCTTATGGTAATTTGCAACCATGCATTTGTAATTTCTTGACTTGCTGATCAGTTCTCAGTTCCAGCATGCAATCCATTTGTGCTTAATTACCCTACATTACCTTGACTTGAACTCTTTGTTGACAACTGAAGGTATTAGGTAATGTTTTCATTGTGGTAGTTAAGGAAGATTATGGAGCGTTTCACAACAACAGTCTGTTTTTAAGAAGGCACATGTGTACAGTTGGATCAATGGACCACTTTAAAAAGCGAGGAGGGCACTATGCAATCACAACGGTGCAGAGTAAACAGCATGTCGCTTTAAAATTTGGCAGGAGTGCAGACAGACTACACAACAGGGCCTCCAGCCACTCCTGCAAAAGTATTGCCAAAGCAGGACGTTCATTGAAAAAGAGGCTAGTGTGCCTGATAAGATAACTGGGTTATTTATTATAAGGTCCTCTAGCAAGTGAATTGTATTTTGTCAGTTCCCAGAACATGTTATCTGCCGTTTATGACGATTTGCATAAACTTTGCGTTATGCAAAGAGCTTCCGAATGTCAGTTGTGTGTTTTCCCTTAGGAACAGGATAGTGACGCTGAGGTGAAAAGGAAGAGCAACAGAGAGGGGAAAGACGATCAGGATCAAGCAGATGACTCTGAAACAGACTGACTCTTCAACAAATCTATTCAGTACTTTTTACAACCGACGTGCATTGGGGTCTCGCTTCACAGCGTACAGTCAAAATTCTTCATGATACTGTTTATAATGTGATTTTGTTTTTGGTTCAAAAAAATGTTATTTGTTTTTGCCAAAAATCATTAAAATGTTACTTGTTTCTGTTGTGATTTATTGTACTCCTTACACCCAAACGTCCATCATTACATGAATTAAAGTTAGTAAAACTTATAATGTTTCAGACAAAACAGTCGCGCTTGTAGAATACATAACAGTACAGACTGACTTAACACTTAGGTCTTTGTTGTAAATTCTACAAATAGGGTGCCCAGTGCTGCTGTATTGTGACATTTTTGTGAAAAAGTGCAAATTTGCCCTCAGCACATAATCGGCAGTAGTGAAGTAGATGCAAGTAAAACAAGCACTTGACCACCAGAAATGCAAAAGCAGCAACTCAAGTTCCCCCAAAAAAAGAATCTCAGTAATTACGTTTTTAACCTGAAAACGTAATTAAAACTTTGATCGTTTGAAACGTCAACTTCAATGTCATTCCACAGTTTCCCTCTGCGGAAGTTTATGCATTCTGTTTAAAAAGGCATACGTTTGAATCTGTCATTAATTAAACAGCATGAAACAAACATCATCTAAACAACACAACGCGACTTCAAGAACAGAGAAAGTGTCGATGTCACAGTTTTCTGCTGATGCCTCCTATCGTCTGTCAGCGTTGGACTGAACCACGACACACTATCACGGGGTATCTTGTGGTAGAAATATGTATGTATTGCTCACCAAATACACTTTATCTCATAGTACAAAATAAACATAGCTCCCTTTTTAGTGTTGAAATATTAACAACGTTAGCTTCTTATGAATATTAATATCGTTCTTTCCAAAAAAATTGGTATTGCCTCCACCCCTCCACGTTGAGGTGGGTGGTATATCCAGGAAGCTTATCCAACTGTTCGGGGAAACCACGGTAAACAAAAGTGTCTTTTTCAGAGTCCTTTTGCAACGGCTTACCAAATTTAACACCTATTCTCTTCCGTGCGCGCCCTTGTAGCTGTCGTATGAACCTGCTGGGTGACAGTCGCCGCGTCGAAACCGGAAAAGGACATTTGAGGCTGGACAAATTTCCCCAATCAAACAACCTGCAGTTAGCGGCGCCGAGTTGCCGAAACCATGTCTGAGTTCCTTCTCCTTCTTCTCATCGTCGTCCTTCTGCTGTGCTTGGTGGCGACCGTGGGGGGCTATCTGATCTACTCGGGCCTTCTGGTGGATGTGGACGTGAAGACGGGACCACCCCCGATTACAAATGTGACCTTTGCTTATAAATTCAAAGAGGGAGCCTACAAGGACTGCGGGGCAGCCTTCACAGAGACCTGCAGCATTGGACCCAAGCAGAGGACGATCGGTGTCTTCTACGATGACCCCGAGCAGGTGTGTGTGCGTGTACGATAGCACCGTTGGGAGGGTTTTTCTTGGCTCAAATTGAGGCGAATGGCACCACTTCGCCACGCCCACCCACCCGTATTTACATTATTCCAATGATTGTCCCATACATTAATCCAGTAAACTGTTAATTATCGTTTTATCTAAGCAGAAAACCAAAACCTATAAAAACCCAGGTCTCTTTCAAGGGTGACCTGGCCAAGAAGGTGGAGCACGTCACATGACAGTCAATGCATAAAAGTAGATAAACAAAAAAACAAACAAAAACAAAGCACAATCAGAAAGCGAAAGCTAACTGTTGACTATCACCCATCTGAAATGGAATCGATCCAAATATACTGTTAACAGCACAATAAAAATAAGCAGTCGAGCAAATCACAACAGGAGGAAGGTTTACAAAGTTTATGTGCAAAGAGAAACGATACACGGAGCAAGAGCAACTGGTATAAAGACATTCAGCACATTCCGTTGAAAATTAATCAAAGAGACAAAGGAAGCCTGTTTGAGTCAACAAAATAAAATATTTTCGTGAAAAACACCTGTAGGCCATAAATATATAAAAATAGTAATAATACATGTGCAAACAATCAAATGAAAAATACTAAGTATGATGCTAACTGAGTGTGTATTGTGTATTCATTCCAGTGCCACATGATCATGTATGCCTGCCACTAACGTACACTACCACTGTAGCAAAGTCATAATTACACAGTCAATATTTTTTTTTATAAAAGTACAACTAGGCCATTAATATAAAACAAATGAACAACACTAAGTATGGCAGTAACAAGCCTGTTTCTTGTGCTGCATCATAACATTTTACGCAGTTGCCCAGACCAGTTAATTGAACGCTGTTCGTAAACACCCAAAAGTCATAATTACAGTAAATATTTCTACAGAAATCAGTCATAAGCCATACATATGAATCAATCGGATGAAAAACACTTGCTGAAACTGACCGTACCCTCTGGTGCCACATTACGACATACTCTGATGTTGCTGCCCAAATTATTTCATAACTTTGAGATCACGAATGTCAGAATGTCGTAAACTAAGCACCCCCTGTATTCATATCTTCATTGTCAAAGTTGACAATGAAGATATGTGAGTTCTGAGTTACGATATGAGTTAAGTTTGTTCCTCTCAGTGAACCTTTGTAACTGTACGAATTAGTTCAAGTTCTATGGTTTTATCACTTTCTTGATGATTTGATAACTGCCTCTTTCAAAAGAGAAATCTGCCCTTGAGGGATTAAACATAAAAGCGATCTCTTTTGAGAAAAGGAGCCTGTCTGATGAAACTGGTCAGCTGCTAAATGACACGTTGCACTGTTGATAGTTTCCACCCACATATGCTGGCTGCGGGCTGCCTCACTTGACTCCAAAGATGCAAACAAGAGTCTTTCCACTGCAGAGCGCTGACAAGCAGGAAACGCACACTTGACTCGCAGCTGTCCAGACAGCGGTAAATAACGCTCACCCAGATGGGAGAAGCGACGACGCGATAGCGTTCAGCACAAAACAAATGTATTAGACCACCGATCAATGTCAGGTTTATGCCACAACCGCTGGTTAATACAGCAATATGGAGTAGCTCTTTAATAATAGTTTTTTTTTTACAGTGCTTTTATAATAGACGTCAATTATACGCAGATTTTTGCTCTTGGCGGGTCGGCCCAGTCCCTAAATCCCATGGTAATTGGTTTCATTACTGTATGTTTTTATAAAGTACAATATTGTAGATGGCTATTTTACTTTTTGTGTAATGTTTGTGCTTTTTTTTCCACCCTCCCTTTTCTTAGCTTGGTTTTGGGAAAAGTATGCCCACAGCATTAAATATAACACGCATTCAATGTATTGTCTGAACGGTGGGTGTTTGTCAGATGGAAATTCTGAGTTCTCAACAGATATGCGAGTAACACTTAAACACACACACACACACACACACACACACACACACACACACACACACACACACACACACACACACACACACACACACACACACACACACGATATTGAGAGCAATGCTGTTATGTGAGGTGGTACTTTATGTTGTATTTCTGCATCAATAATCACAGTAGTACACTGTTGTGATTATGTGTTGTGTTGGCCAACTGTCTGCCAAAATAAATGTTTTTTTTTTTTTTGTTTGTTTGTTTTTTTAATCCCCAGGGGCATTGTGACCTAGTCTATCTATCCATCTATCGTTTTTTTTTCTCCAGCTGGAGCCTATCACAGCTGACTTTGAAGCGAGAGGCGGGGTACTTCCTGTCGCTCTCGCCAGCCAATCGCAGGGCCCATTTCGACAAACAACCGCTCACACTCACATTCACGCCTATAGACAATTTCGAGACTTTTTCTTCTTTGTACCTAAGAAGCATGCTTGTGGAATATGGAAGGAAGCTTGGCTTACTGAAAGAAAACCCCAGAAGTACGAGAACATGCTAACTCAAGAGAGTTGAGCTTAGAGGTTTTGGTGTATTCAATGAAAATGTCTTTCAGTCTGAGGTAATTCGTATAAGAGTTGCTCACAGGGGGAAACTTTGTTCTCTGCTTTCCAGTCAGTGGAAAAGTTAAGAGTGTGAGAGTCAAACTTAAGAAAAGTTCTGGCCAGAGGCTCAGCGAGGAGCTTTTTTAGAACATTTTTGCTGGTGTCTCTATTGTTGGATAGACTAGGGGGGAGATCACAACGATGCTGTTATGTGATTTTACGCGCCGCTCGGCAACAGTATTCCATGGCCCGCTCATGACCTGCTTCATTTGTAAATAAGAGCTGACTTTTATGGGGATTTGATAAACAAATCACAGTCCTGGGGCTCTTGTACTCTGTTATTTATTTTTTTGACGTGACACTAATTTAAGTTGGAATGTTATATAGTCAGCAAGAAGCACTCTTCTGGCATTCACTTAAGCTGAATTCATGGCTATTTCCCCATGTTGGCTTTCTACCATGGGCCTTGTCAACCCTTTTACAAATGCTGTTTACTAACCACACATAAAAGAGAAACTAATTTACTTTAGGAGATGTAAGTTTTCATTTCCTGCTTTGTTCTTCCCACAACAAATTTACATGACTTGCAGCAGATGTCATTTGGGGAGGATCTTAAGTCCTCAGTTGTGCATGCACAGCAATTTCTGTTGTGAAATGTATTGAATTTGAAACTGTAAAATTTCTATGGGGTATATGTGCATCAAGTGGTGACTTGAGCCGAGTCTAATACTCAAATTCATTCAGCGAGTTAATGGTGGTGTATACAGAGGACTGGTCACTAGCCAATAGTAGTGTCAATATAGACAGACATATTACACATATTCCCACTTACATTCCCACCCATGGATAGTTTAGAGTCTTCATATATTCTTACATGCAAGTTTTTGAAGTGTTGGAGGAAGCTGGAATAACCGGAGAAAACCCAAACATAGGTAGAACATGCAAACTCCACACAGAAAGGCTCAAGTCTGGATTCAAACCTCAGTACCAGTTGTTAGAAAGCAGAACAATATATATCCACCATTTTGCAACCCTCCTTAATTCTGATTTGAAGTTCTCCTGGTAAACATTTGATGTTGGGACAGAGTGTGCCTTTTTTTTTCCATAAAACAGCTGAAACATAGTTTACATCTAGCACAGGTTGTTAGCAATTGAAATGTCTCTCTGTGGGAGCTTAATCTGATATTTGTTGCCTAATTTCAAAGAAAAAAAATGCAGTATGTAACTCAGTGGTTGGAATTAAATACAGTATTCATTTAATTACCTGAGCGGATTTTTCCAGCTATGCCCATGTAAACTTACTTACGACCACTAGATGGCAGTATTGTCACAGGCCTAGAGTTGTGTAGAAGGCCGTTGCTCCCCAATTGCAGCTACGTGTTAACTTCAATGTCTTGCGCTCAATTTCTGATCAACCATGGTCATTAAATGTAATCAATAACAGCAGAAAAATGCAATACAGTGCAGGCAACACGATAGACTCATGGTTAGCATGTCTGTCTCATAATTATGACTTTTGGAGTTCGAATCTTGGCTCTGGCCTTCCTGTGTGGCGTTTGTAAGTTTTCCTTGCGCTTGTGTGGCCTTTATATTCCTACATTTTAAAAACATGCTTGTTATCTTCTAAATTGCCCAATGGATGTGAATGGTCAGCTTGTATAGTTGTTGTTTGTCTATACGCACGTGGACAAAATTGGTGGTACCCCTCGTCACAGAAATAACTTGAATCTGGCAAAAGACAATAATAAATGAAAACATGATGAAAATTAACCAGTTAAAATCAGACATTGCTTTTGAATTGTGGGCTAAACAGAATTATTTTTTTAAAAAATCAATCAGTCAAACAAACTCATGAATTGTCCTAGACAGAAATGATGGTAAAACCAGAAAAAAAGGTTATAAGAAAATAATTTGACCAAAGAGACATGTTCAACCAAGTTTCGTCTCCTAATGAGCATCACAGGCGTCTTCAAACTTGTAATCAGTCGGTAGTCTTATTCATTCAAAGGGTGAGAAGTAATCACAGTGCTCTTTGGTGAGATGGTGTGCACCACACTAAATCCGGACCAAAGGAAGGGAATGATATGTCTACAGATATTAGAAACCAAAATGCACACAAGCACAGAAAGGCTAGAAGACGTTCTCCTTGCAGCTTGACAGCGCTATAGTGTTCGTCCTAACAAATATTCTTTTCAATACAGGTTTAAAGTCTGAAAGCTTTTCTGGAATAAAAGCCTTAAACTTATCATGCATCTTGATGTCCCTGTGACTACACTTGCACATATTCAGAACTGTAAGATCCACGGGACTGTATCAACAGTTTTGTCCACGTGTGTATATGCGCCGCGATAGAATGGTGACCGGCCCAGGGTATACCCCAGCTCTTTCGCCAAAAGCCAGCTGCGATCGGCTCAAGCTCACCTGCGATCCTACTGAGGCCAAGTGCTACAAGAAGATAGATCAAATGAAATAAAACCTGCATTACTTGCTGTAAATTGTTAAGTCTGTGATGTTTGCAGTGTGGATCACATCTATTTCATTAAGTAACTTTCAAATTGACTTTCAGTATAGTTTCTGTTGTTCATTTGACAAGTGTGGCAACTTTGTGTGGTTTGAACTGTCTGCGGCGTAGCTGACCTTCTCCTCTTGCATTGTTTAGGACGGTCTGTGAGTCAACACTGGCCAATTAGCCCAACATCTTGTTGCTCCCCCTTGAACTGTTTTGATTTGTTATGCGCATCCATGCTTGTGACTGTTTGCATATGTGCTTGTAATTGCAAACACAAGCCTGAGGAATTGAGCACTTTAGCCTAGGGTTAATTTGCTGGCCTGCAGGTGCACCAAACAAACACAGATCAGCCACATTTGAGGTTATCATTTATGATCAAAGAAGATCCTGAGGGTAAGGTTTTTTTTTTTCTCTCTGTTCTTTCTATTGCTGCTGTAACAGATTTCCCGACGAGGTAAACAAGCTCTTGTCGTGTAGCAGGGCGTAAAAAGAGTAACCGCTCCATAGGCAGGCAGGTTGGCTGCAAGATTCATCACAGAGAGTGGGCAGAGGCCTGTGGGTGTGTCGGCAGGGTGGATGCAATAATTCAGCAGAGAGTGAGCAACTCGTTCTGGGGTCCTGATCAACATCTTGATTTCTTTGTACAATAATTAAAACCTTGAGCATTTGACGGCCTGCATAAAATATTTGGAATAGCCTATTGAGCTGTGCCTTGAGATGCGAGTGACGCTGGAAATTAGGATTTTTCTTTTCCAAATTGTACATTTAATTGCGCAGTAATGTAAATGTATTCTTTTTTTTTCATTTATCGAATTAAATAATTGTTTTATTGCATATAAAAAGTACAACATATTTATTAGTTTATCAAATATTGGTAAAGTAATTAGAGTTTCGTTTGGACAAAATCTTTGTTTTTAACTCCCGAAAGGTTTTTCTTTTTAGTTTAAAATAGCATACCTTAACTAGAATCCCCTGTCATATTTTGGCCACAGGTTGAACTCTGGTCGGTTATTGCGTCTTTTGGTGCTGTAGATAATTGTTTGGGCACAAGGAAGGCGTGTGTTAAACTAGCTATCACATCACACAGTAGTTGTCATGACGACGACAACTACTACCACTACTACGACTACTTCTTTATTTTTGCGGTTAGCAAACACCAAAAATAATTGCCAAATGTCAAAAAGTAAATGTGATCAGGGAACGGAGATTTGGGGTGTTAGTCCAAGCTCTAATTTGAATATATACAAGTCGCACCTGAGTCGCAGGACTAGCCAAACTATGACAAGTGCAATTCATCGCCCGTATAATATGAGAACTATTTTACACACACGTTAACTTTTTAGTTTTAAACATCATCTAAAAAAGACCTTGTCCATCGACATATTTTGAAAATCAAATTGAGCAATGTGTGATGTGCGATTGCCATCTGTCATGTTCTGAAGGCACTCCCAAGGCATATTTTTTCCTGAAAATGTGTGTCGGTTTCCAAAATGTGCAACTTTTAATGCTTTGTACATACCCGGGTTGTGTCACATTGTGCTCAAAGTCCACGTGTGTTTTTTCTGTTGCTCCTGAGGCTTCTTGTGGCAAGCAGAGAAGAAAACCATTTCACACGTAGACATGCGTGGGAGTGGCACAGAAGGATGAGTTGAGGGGTGGCAATAGCTGGCAAGAGGTGTATAAATTGGATTTAGTCTGACTCACCTTGAGAGCATCGCAGTGATCCAATTCATCAATGAGAATGCCTGATCAGAGCGCCCGGCGCCGCTGCGCTCCCCTGTCAAATTTATCTGCATTTTATCGCCGCTTGTATGTCTGTCGACGGAAAGAACATGAAAGGTGGAAGGCTCATCGCCACTTTTAAATGCGGACATAAATTGAAAAAAAAAAGATGTTCATACTCTTGTCGTCCGCTTCCACGGGTTCCAGAGTCAATGTGATTCAAGCTGCCAGTAACGCTAAGATCCCATTTCATGTTTATGGACGCCTCCATAGAGAGCTGCTGCAAAATGAGCACACAGACTGAAACATGCTGGGGGGACTGTTGTATTTTTTCCCCCATAATATTGTGTGTGTGTGTGTGTGTGTGTGTGTGTGTGTGTGTGTGTGTGTGTGTGTGTGTGTGCCCAAGGATGCGACATTCATTTTTTTTCCCCCCTGCAAACTGAGACATTAGCACGCATGCTGCTATTAGTCAGAGAAACAAGGTGTTGAGGAATGTCTTTAAATCTTCCACACCATCAGTTCTGTGGCTTGATTGTTTTTTTTTTTTTTGCCCCATGCACAGAAAAATGGATGAAATGGCCCGGTATTAATCATAGTTTGCGAAAGGGAGCGAAACATTAGTTGGCGAGGCAGTCTGCTAATGCAGATGAGGGAGCAATTTGTTCATTTCTCCTATTAGAAAAGACCATCTCCTCGCTCTGCGACATCTGGCCAAGGGGGAGGGCCACGCCGCGGCCAGCTGGATGACCAGATCCGAGACTGCGGCCAAGGATAACCACGTCCCGCCTCCAGCCGTTCGCTTGCCGTTGCCAGTAATCGTAGATGCCAAGGCTCCCAGGATGACGCGTGTATCTACCAGCCAGGTCTCAGCATCACCTAAAGGGACCAGCGCTGTACTTGGTTCTGGATGGATTGACAGAAAAAAAAAAAAATGGAATAGCAAAGACTTCTGATAGTACAGCCCCGATATTAGCTAGCAATGCAAAAGGAACACATAGTCAACTCTCAAGGAGCGTAGTCATCATCCTGTATGTTGAAAAAGAAAATTATTGCTTGGCTGTTGGTTTTTAATGAGCACGGTGTCCTCAGCCTGAAGCCAAAGTTGGCACCTGGCCTGGTTTGAACAAGTACCCCCTCTACACACCACACAACCTGCTACCACTTGCAGCAGGGGCCCGCACTTGAAAACAATCCGCACCAAGTGCTGATAGCCAGGAGGGAAGAGATGCAAGGCCAAGAGCGGGCAAGATGAAGAGAGTAAATCCTCATTATGTGTCTGCTAATAAAGAATTACCTCTGTCAGCTGTACCTTTTTATTGTTTGAGAGCCCTCATCCATCAAAAATAGCCCTTGTAGCCTCGGGCAAAGACTTGCTTTTGAAATGACTTTTTCTCCCAACAGACCCTCGGAGACATTGCTTAAGAGTATCAGGTACAGATGAGAATTGGCACCATTTGTTAGAACTAAGTGCCTCACATGTTCAATGAAAGTTAGCTGTATGTGTCCTCTGCCTGGGATCCTCAGAAATACATGCAGGCCGATTCCTGCACGAGTTCAGACGCTCTGATCTATTTCTTTTATTTTCTTTGCGGCATAGTGGAGAAACATTATGTCTGTATACTGTCTTGTGACTGAGGTGAATGCTCCACAGTCCATCCCAGGGTCTCATGCTCTGCTTCACCTGAAGCTATCAAAAGTCTCAGAAGCCCGTCCTGCAGCTACCTCAGAGAAAAAGAATTGTTTGGAAGCAGCCGACGGTTCCCCTGCTCTTGACACTTGGGACTGAACTTTCAAAAACCGTCTTTGACCGATATAACAACAAATAATTCTCAAAACATGTTTTTTGGGGCTACTACTTGTACTTTTTATTTAATTACCCCCCCCCCCCCCCCCCCCCCTCGCACCGCTCAACAAACCCCTAGAACATC